ATTATTGGTTTTTTTCTTTAGAGAGGTACACATTTATAAAAGCATCTCTGTGTTTATATTATACATGTATGTTCTAGATATCATAAGTATTATGATAGGTTGGTTGTTTTTCTGTGCAAAGCTACCACAATGGGCTATCTACGCTCTGTCCCTGTGAGGAATCGAGCCCTGAGTCTCATCATTACAAGTCCATAACCTTACCACTGACCCTTCGCATTAATAAAAAAAATCGAATACTTAATCATTTTACCAAATTCGAACGTATTCAAATCTTTCTTTACGCACGTATAGTTCATTTATTTAATACTTTGTCAGTGCCATTTTATTTGAAAATTATTTGATTGTTGTTAAGCACAAAGCTACACAATGGGCTATCTGTGCTCTGCCAATCACGGGTATCTAAACCCGGTTTCTAGTGTTGTAAGTCCACAGATATATCACATCATTTAGTCTTATCACTACTATAATGAATGGAAAACAAATCACTTTAATTGGACCGACAAAATGATAAGGTATTATTCTGATTTTTTAACTCAAGCGAACAGTAACAGCGTTTGCTAGATGGCATGGAGTTTTATAGAAACCCATGTTTTATTAGTATTTATATGTACAATATATAACATGTTTATATTTCTTTGCATTATCCGAAGGCCATAGTTATCTGATACAGGCTTAGTAAAACAAAAATACGTTAGAAATTTATTTATCTCAAGTTATTTTTAAAGTATATTTTTCTTGCAGATATATTGACGCTTTGTCTTTTCCGTAATCTCCTCTCAGTATGAATGTTAGATTTGCAAAAGGTCAGAAAAAGAAACAAGTCTGGTAATACTACGTCTGTGTTTACGAAAAGCTATTTTCATAACTTGCATAAAAATGCAAAAAAAGGAGAAAACTGGAATGATAAGTTTTACTTAAGCATAAAACCAAACAGAAATAATTACAATGTTAAAATCATAAAATAATTTATAAATTTTACGTTTTAGTTATTTACATTATTGAATAACGGTTTAAGTTTAATATTACCAGATTCCAAAATTTTGTGATAAAGTCTAACGCTAGATGGAATTAAAAACATGAGGCAAGAGCTTATCATTACGATTGTATTAGTGTAGATAATTTTCCATGCTTCTTCTTAATATCAGGGAGAAATAATACAAGACCACGTTAAGTAATTGATCAAACTAATCAGATCCGAATACTTTTTTCAGAGATTTTATGAGAAATATAGTATTTCTCAACTAGACAGTACCATTGTACAACATTGTTGGATTGAAAGGCACGCATAATTTCAAACAACTTGCACACAAAAAATTACACAAGAAAACAAACAATAACAGATTGGTAAAACATTAATATATAATAATCTTTTCTCACAAAAATATAGAAATGAATGACGCAAACTTTTTTTAATAATAAGTTATTTCTGGTTATTTTTAGCTTTGAATACTTAAGGTGCATCCACACTGGATGCGAGCGACGAGGACAAATTTTTTTAGAAATGACTGCGTAAATGGGAGCATATACATCTGTGGCGCCGCTTGGACGAGTTCGCCGCGCTGCCCAAATAGAACCTGTCTCTATTTTTTAAAACGTGGATAATAATAAAAAAGTTATTAAAAAAGGATCAAAGAATCAAGTTGTAAGGAATGACATTTATTTTTTAAACAGAGTAGAGATGTTTGCAGAAAGTTGATACAATAATACAATTGGATAGCTCATCTCCACTGTGTACATTTGGAGCTGGCTTTAGAAATACATGAAATCACATAGAAATATACAGACCAGGTCATGTCTTTATCCCTAGTCTTTTGGATTACTTCCAATTTACGTCTGGTGTAGATAAACACTTTGCTGCGCTTCTCGCGTCCAGTGTGGATGCAACTTAAGTTCCACTGAAGTTTAAAATTTTAAAAGTCCAAAGAGAAATATTTTATAGTGTCAAAAACAAAGGATATAAAACTTCCCCCTGACTAACATAATTTATCCACCTGTCTATATTTGGCCCATCTTATCAGTCAAGCACATGAATATCAGTGTTCACGCATAGCTAAAATTAATTGAAGTAGCTCTATACTTGTAAAGCTTGAATAAAAATAAACTCACACAATTCTCTCTACATGAGAAACTTTAGTGGAACATAATGGTGTTTTCGAATTGCGAAAATACAGCATACGCAACTGTTTCTAGCATTGATGACCTGATTTTTAAATGAGTTCTCATATCTCTTAAAATTACCGACACCTTAGAAAAATGTTTTTTTAACGAAAGAGAAGTGATTCAAGCCTAATTGAAAAGTTTATTTATCTCTTGTGATAACATCAAACATAGAGACTGGTGAAGTATTGTAAGTCCAATAAAGGGGATAATACACCATCAACATCAACAACTTGTGTCAGTGTGGGCAAGTTAGTATACTCTGTAGATTCGATGTGCCTTGGGTCTTAGTTGCATGAACATTTATGAGGTCATCTTTTGTTGGACAGCTTACAATCTCTGGGAAAGGGAAATGATAATTAAACTTCCTTCATAAAAGAGGAGGTAAATAGATTCTGTAGCAGTTCTTAAGAAAACAAAGAGCTAATTCAGTGACGGTCATATAAACATTAAAGCACACATTTATTTTCTGTGATTGAACTTGATCTTCTTAGATTTACAAGGCTTTATTTTTCTGAAAACCTCAAAAAGCAAAAAACACAGAAGTCACCCTTCCTTGCAGCTTTGTCTTCACAACAACAGAGTATCTTTTTTGAAACCCCCCCAGTATTCGAGATAAAATCGTGTTGCAGAGGATCTAAACCATAGAGTTATGTCTTTTCTTTTAAGCTAACAAATAATCAGTTTCATGGTGATATATGATAACCTCTTTCAGGTTTGCCCCACGGTGAGATGACCCAAGTTTTGTTTGATGTATGGTAACTTGCCTAAGGTTAGATACACGGATAGATGACCCACGTTTTATTCCACATTATGGTAAATTACTTAAGGTTAAATCCAAGGCTAGATGACTCAAGTATTCTTGTACAGTAATGTATGGTAAATTGCCTAAGGTTAGATCCAAGGCTAGGTGACCCAAGTACTGTTCTACAGTAATATATGGTAAACTGCCAAAGGTTAGGTGCAAGGCTAGATGACCTAAGTTTTGTTCCACAGTGGTGTA